CATTAGACCTACAGGCAGAGGCATAACAGGGCAGCTGAGTGTGTAGGGCAGTAGCAACACATGGGGAGAGTGGTCATTTCCATCTGGGCACCTGAGGCAGCAGTGACACATCGGGGCAATGGCAAATTCCAGCTGCCGTTGCTGCCAGTGTGATCATGCAGCTGCCCCTCCCCCTGCCCAAGCTGGTGCCCAGAGCTGCACATACCTGAGGATGAGTTCTGAAAAAAAAAACCAAGAGAAGAAGTGATTGATGCATTAACACCCAGCAAAAGAGTGGTTAGGGCACCTTTGTGGACAGCAAGAGACCCAAGCTCTAGCCCCCACTCACCCAGAGGCAGTTCTGAACCTGCATTAGGGTTTAAATGACTGGGCTTTGGCTGGTAAGGCATTACAATGATTATTCTCCCACCTGCCTTTGAACCTGAGCCACTACCTCTTGCATCTAATAGTCACTGGATAAAACAGAGGAAGACTAATGGGAAAATTTCTGCCCCATTAAAACAAGCCTCCAGGCTAGAACCAAGGGCTTCTCACTTCTAGAGTAGCTCAGTGAGTCATCTCATTGAGCTGCAAACCCTCTAGTTTGTTACTTTACTCCTGGCCCCACTCCCTCCTCTTACTCATTCTTTGTCCAGCAGCACGCTGTGACTTACACCTAGCATACTTGTCTGCATAACGTCATAGCAGTCCAGCCAGTATGTAACATACTGAGCATGTGCAGTACCTTTTGTGTCTACAGTGCAGAAGTAATAGAATTGTATACTGTTTGTAAGTGCCAAAATGCTGTTTATGCCACTAAAAATTGCCATTTCCATGCATAACGGGTAATAGAATTTTGATTCATCTCCCTCCAGTCTTCTGGGACTTTGCCTGTCATCCATGACTTTGCAAATATTGTTGCCGGGGCTCTGAGATTTTTTCAGCCAATTCTTTCAGCACCCTGGCATAAATTTTGTCAGGCCTCGTGACTTACTTTCATTTAAATTTGTCAAGAGCTTTGTTACATGCTTTTTATTTATCTCACTCTTCAGACCTTCTTCTATGCCTGTCTTAATTTAAGTAGCTTTTTGGTCACAGTTTGGTTTTAGCATGAAGACTAAGTGCAAAGTAATCGTTGGACAGTTGTGCCTTTGTACCTTCCATTAACAGATCACATTCACTAATAAGCAGTATACCTACAGTTTCCTTAATCATCCTTTTCTGTGTGACACATTTTATAGAACCCCTTCTTCTTATCTTTACCATCCCATCCTATTGCACCCCAGCCCATCTCTTACTTTGCCTTTGCTTTCCTGATTTTTGTGTCTTTGTTTTTGCTATTATCATGCCTTTCCCTTCTTAGAATTTTTAGTTCTGTCATATCATAATCATTCCTCCCAAGTTTCCTACCACTTTCATGTTTTCAGACAATTCTTTCTTAGTGCTCAGAGTAAGATCCAAGGTAGATGATCCTATGATTGTATCCTGAACTTTCTGAAACAGAATGTTGTCTTCTATACAGGTTAAGAACTTTGCATCTTAAGTAGTATTCTTCCAGCAAGTATCAGGCAACTTAAATTCCCCATTAATACTACTCTGTAAGTTTTGATTATTTTACTTACTAGCTTGAAGAATGCCTCCTCCACCTCTTTTTCTCATTTCATTGTCTAAAATAGACCCCTGCCACAGTATCATTATTGTTCTTCTCCATTCTTTATTTACACTCAGATTCGTTGATGGTGGGATTTTTTTTCCCCCTTTCCTGGACCTGGAAACAAGCACATGTAGTCTTGTCAATTAAAGCACCAACTCCTTTTTTTTCCAAAGCCTACCCTTCTGAAACAAGGCATACCCCTCAATGTTGACATTGCAGTTATGGAAGCTGTCCATCAGGTTTCTGTAAAAACAGTTAAGTCATACTATTCTTTACACATTAGGATGTCCAGTTCATCTTGCTTGTTCCCCATATTCTTGGTGTTTTCATATAAGGATCAAACATACTTTGTAGTCTGTCATAGGGCCATGCAAGTCTTGCCTGCTGGCCTGCAGGGCATTGTCTCTGATCCTTGCCACCTGTTGTTTCCTCTGAAGCAGTCTGACAAGCTATTCCTACTAGCTGCTCAGTAGTTCCTGTGGGGTACATCTACATGTGCACTTTACTGTGGAGCTGACTAATTAGTTCCACAGTAAAGTGTCACTATCTACACATGCACCCAGATTAGGGTGCAGTACATTAATTAACTCTGCTGTAAGATAGTACTGTCTGGAACAAGTATTAGTCTACAGCAAAGTAGTTTTGTGCGCTGAAACACATGTGTAGACAGTGACCGGGACTGGGTGGGGGCATGAGGGTGATACAGTGCAGGGGCTGCCTGCTGCTAGCCCCACATTGCAGCACCCTCGTGCCCCAGCCAGCCCCTCCACAGCATGTTGAGCCAGGGTGGAACAGCCCCCTGCTAGCAGGCTGATTTTCAC